TGGAACCGTCTTTTGCCTCTAACACTATCCTGAAGCCCGAGCACTAGAGGGCAATGATCTGACATCTCTGTTGCATGACTTTGTAATACACAGTCTAGATAGATGTCTTCCCAATCTCCTGTACAAAGAACCCTATCCAACTTGACTAGAATAGGTGAAGCCCTCTCATTAGACCATGTATATCTTCAGCCCAGAAGTGGAATTTCCTTAAGTTCCATATCATTTACAAAGCGGCGAAACCTTCCCATTAAAGCCCTGTTCACATTGTCATTGTTTTTATCTTCAGCAGAGTAGATCATGTTAAAATCACCGGCAAGCATCCACGGTCCGCTGCAGTGACTTCTCACCTCCCTTAGTTCTTCAAGAAAGGTTGGTTTCTCCGCATCCAAATGAGGCCCATAAATCCTAGAAAACCACCATACATTCTCTCCATATGTTCTAAACTTGACTGAGATAGAATGTCGAAGAACACGATGGCACTCTGGTGTAAAAACCTCATTTCTCCAGGCAACCAGGATTCCTCCCCTAGTTTCTTGGGCAGGGAGGTAAACAAAAGATTGAAAAGCCTGTCCTAAAATAGAAAGCACGTCATGAACTGAGATGTGAGAAAGCTTTGTTTCTTGTAGACAAACCAAAGCCGACTGGCACGACTGCATAGTCTGATGAACGGCATCCCGACGCGCTTTATCATTAAGACCTCTTACATTCCAAATTAAGACATTACATGGAGCCATAATTGAAAAGAGAAAGTACCACCAGAATAGGGAACACCCTAAACCACAGAGATGCTAGCTATGGAGCACACCTCATCACAGGAAGGCGCATTCCAACCAAAGAGTGCTGCTAGAGCCTTCACATGATCATGACTCAAGGTTTCTTCAAACATCTTGACATACTGTCCCATCGCTTCTTCAGAAATGCCTTCATTACCAGTATCTACATTGTCCTCCCCATTTTTAAACTGTAACTATCTGCAAACTATTGTTGCAGACTTGTGATCAGAAACTGGCGGTAGTTTGGCCACCCTTCTGCTTCTTCTAGGAACGAAATCCACTGGCAATGTTTTCTTCCTTGGCTTGGGAGGAGGGGGGCGCTGCAGCACAACCCCCACTGGCTTGGTAACCTTAGCTATGAAAGCCGAGGTTACAATTGGTGTGGCGGCAGGAGCAGCATGAGTAGGCAGTGCTTTAGAGGATGATCCATCTCTCATCACAGTTAGGGAATCTGACTCAGCATGAACAAGGGCAATGAGCGAAGGCGCAACCGTGGCTGCAACACACATTGGCCGTGACAGAGGGGCCGGTGGTGGAGCCAAGGCAACCTCTATGACACTCGCTGGGGCGAACACCTCCCTGACTAATTGATGGACCACGGGGCGAAGGCACCGTTGCGCCTACAACACGCACCGGAACGAGGTCCGGTGGCGGAGGCGCGAAGGCCTCAACGGCATCCGTGGAAGACAAGTCTTGCTCTCTACACACTATCGGGCTGGCATCAGGTCGCTTTGAGGCGGGCGTGTTCTTGCCACGACGGAAGTAGGTCTTGATTGAAGGAGCTGCACCGGAGGCAGTCACCAAGGAGTTGATCTGATGATCCAGACTACTTCGGACTGCCGGCGAGACTCCAACAATCATCAGAACGGGATCATCCAGAGGAACAAGATGCATCAGAGACATTGAGTTGGGGCCCAACAGAGGGGCCACATTAGCAACCTGGGCCGGCCCATTTGTTCCAGAAACACCAGGCGACTGTTGCTTGGGGTGCTCGTTAACAAACAGCCGGTCCACATCCTTCTTTGGATCCCCTAGGATCGCGTCCTTAACACCCGAGGACGGAATAATGGCGACGGCCAGCAAGTCATCAAAGTTTTCCTCGGTAATTGACTGGTTGCATGGGGAAGTAGGAGCAATCACAGCTGCCGCCTCCTGGGGCACCGAGCATGCAGCGCCGGCGAGCGCCTCCTAGACTCCTGTGCCACAGCCAACACTCTCAGGGCCCGTGTGTCGCAAGAAACGAGGAGCAGTGCCTCGGGAAGGGGATCCGTTCCCTGAGCTTCGTGGAGAGGACCCCGAAGATCGAGAGTCTCATCGCCGGCGACGACCTTCACCATGCCCGGCCGGAGGCGGAGCCAGAGGCGCACCCACGCCCGACACATGCCCAGCAACCGGTGCCACCGTAATCATAACATCATAGGACAGAGCACGCTTTAGCGAAGGGTCTTCAACAATCAGAGCTGGTGGTTCCACAACAACAAGCTCCATGGCGATCGGAATCTTCTCAGGTTGCAAACACCATGCAGAAAGTCAGAAGGTAGAGTAATCCCGGTGATCAATCGTGTCAGGGTGTAGAGCACTGATCCAACACCACTCATCCAGGAGATGTTCCGCCGTCTCCAACTCCCACACATGAGCTGGGACGCCGCGTATCTCGACATCGACGAGCTGGGGCAGGGTGACACCAGTAGCATTCTTGAACTGAGACCAACGCCGGCAATGTAGCGTGATCAGCGGTAGGTGGATAGGCTGCCCTTCATTGTAGACGCGAGCAGCATCATCTTTAGACGAGAAAACCAGCAGGAGCTCATTAGGCCGTAGGCGATGAAGCACCATCGAGCCACCCGGGAGATCATAGCGGCGAGCAAGCTCAGCCACCAGACCTTCAACCGGGGTAGGTGCGTGATCGCCGACCATCAACACCGAAAGGGCACAATGAAGCTCCTCCTCAGCTCTATCCATTCTTTCTGAGCGATCGATAATTTGCCTAGGCCGTGTGGCAGCGCCAGCGCCGGCAACCCCCAAAGCACCATCAGCTGGAACCACCGCAGGAGGGTGATCGGTGCCTGCAGGTAGGGGGAGACCGCCCTCCCCCAGCGTAGAAGAGCGCCGCCGCCTGACCCGTCGACGACGTCGCCGGCCACCAGTCTCTTGGGTTCCATCCCTTCCATTACTGCGGGCAGTATCCGGAGAATCCCTGGGCATAATCCCACCAGCAGGAGGAGGAATCAAAGCGGCGCCGCCACCGATCCCATCACTCCCGCCGGCAAAGGTAGAGCCGATGTCCTTTCGACGCCAGACAGCCGTGCACGGCTGGTTGATCACCGGAGGTCGAGATGCTGGCGCAGGGCGAGCAGCCATGCCAAAATTGGGACACCAAAAAGCCCGATGACCCAACCGGCGGCACTTGAAACAGCGAGTCCTGTTGTTGCAGGCGGCCGCACGATGGTCCGGCGAGAAGCAGTTGAAGCACAACCCACGGAGGTCCACAGGAACCTGGCGATGAGGTCCCTATTCCGCACGTAGACGAGCCTTGCGGGAACGGCGGCGTTCTGCCTCCTGCCAGCCTTCAGAGTTCGGACCACGCTTGGGGGGCGACGGACGGGAATCGACCGAACGCAGCAGGATTCTAGGAGAGGTGTAGCGCGGCGGAATCACAGGCGGGATCGAGGCCGAACCCGCCGGAGCAGCGGGGATCGCCGCCAGGAGCACCTCCTTGAAGGAAAGGGACAGGGTGCCACCGCCTGACTTCCCGGAAGGAGGAGTTTCACGACCCCAACGCTGGGCCTTGCTACGTCCAGAAGCTGTCACGGGGGAAGGCCTAGACGCCGGTAGAGAGGTGGGAGAGGTGGCCACCGGGCTCGGAATGAGGGCCGACGTGGGGCTGGTGGAGGCGGTTATGGCGCCCAGGCGGGTGGGAGGGAGGGGAGGTTCCATCTCCTCGGACCAGGGTTATGCACTTTCTATAATAACCGTAACCCTTTTATGTGTCAATTTACTTAGAGGTGTGTTGAAAAATTAGCATAATATTCCATATCTATATATTGAAAAATGTTTTGCAACTTTCGCAAAAAAAGAAAAATGTTTTGCAGAGTTATGTTCAGCATTATATAAAAAGGAAGGGTGAAAGACAGGCTCGAGAATAGAACTTTGCTTGTGCCAGGCTAAGCATATGCTACTATCCATATTCTAAAAGCATGAAAACCTAGAGGATTTGTGTTTATATATTTGCATGTGAATTGATCTTACTCCCCATCTCTCATTCTCATCTGGTGACCACCAAAATTAATGGTTAATCTGTTTTTAAATATTTTGTAACAAAAAAATAAAGGGAGACAATATTATCTGAGCTAAACGTTACTGCACTCATCATTTAAGATGTAATTCTCTTCACAAATTCAATTGCACTTGAATAAAAAGACCAAATCATTAGGCCAAATAACCTCTCATCTATTCAAGATATATCAAGGTTTTTTTTGAACTGAAATAAAAATAGAGGTGGTGCTAGAGACACAAAAGTGATGCAGGTGCTAAGAGCGAAGAAAGAAACTTTTGCATATTTGTTCTGTATCAAAAAGCAATTTTTCTTATCAAATGAATATTCAAGCAAAGTGCAGTCCCACTTAAGTGACAGAGATCATTTTGATCTTCCCTTTGCAGAATATTAGGGCTCATTGCATTGTAATTATCTCATATTGCTCAACTAAAAAGCTAGGTTATGGTCATTTAATTTTCCTTGGTAGTATTTCACTACCTTATGTGCTACAGAAGGTTAGATCATGGAAACACAAAATTACAACACGACTAGTCATCGTAAAAATGGCGCGGCAGCCCTATGTTTTCTAGTGAACTTGTCACGAAACCCAATCAAATCGATCTCCTAAGTCGAAATCACAATACCACAGCTTCTAGATTGGCCACTCTTCTTCTGCATCCTTTGTACTCCACATTGCGGGTAGTCATGGGCCGAGGCAAAGCCCAGCTCGAATCCTTCTTTCACTCGTTATTGCTGGTCGTCATGGGCCGAGGTAAGTCCAGCTCGAATCCTTCTTCAGTCGTTGAATGGCCCTCCATCTTCTTCCCCGGACATTCTCTCGCCTCGCGTCCGTCCACCGGCTGCTGCCCCGCGCGCCGTCCGCGCCTCGCCTTCCCCGCGCGCCTCTCGCTGCTGGCGCCCCCAGCCGTACGTGCCCGCCGCGCTCGTGCCTCTCTCTTCTTGCCGGCAACATGCCACCAATTCGGGATTGGGCGTCCCTCGCCCCAGATCTAGTGGAGCTCATCGGGTGGAGTGTGCTGGCCGGCGACCTGCAGGACTACGTCCGGTTCCGCGCCGTATGCTCGCACTGGAGCGCGAGCACCGTCCGCCCTCACATCCGCGACCCACGCTTCCACCCGCGCCGCTGGATGATGCTCCCCGAGGGCCACGGCCTCTACCCCGGCCACCGCGACCTCCGCGGCTTCGTGCGCTTCCTCAACCTCTCCACCGGCGCCTTCGTCCGTGCCCACCTCCCGCTCCTGGATGACCACGTCATACTCGACTCGGTCGACGGCCTCCTCCTCCTGCACGGCGACCGTGACACCGCCATGCGCCTCCTCCACCCTTTCACTGGCGAGATCGTCGATCTCCCGCCGCTGGCGTCCCTCCTGCCACAGATGGAGACCCTTCGATTCTACAACCGCAGCTTAACCATGAACCCCTACGCCTCGGTTTCCGTCAGCTCCCGAGGCACCGTCACTGTCATGCTCGCCTTTACTGACCTGGACCGTGTGGCCTATGCCACCGACGGTGACCAGCGGTGGACTCTCTGGGAACCTTTCACGAGTCTCTTGTCTTCCGATCTTTCGAAAAAAAGTCTCTTGTCTTCCAATGGTAAGATCTATATGGTGGAGTACGCTTATCAGAGTCACAAGGTACACATCTACCGGGTTGATCCACCGTGCACCACTGCAGCTGATGGATTTCCTCATTTCCCGTTGCTGATGAAGATTTCCGAATGCCCATTGGACAGATTCAGCATTATTTTCAACCTTGTAGAGTGTGGCTCAGAGACATTGCTTGTTGCTTACAACGATGAGTCTTGCATAGATCTAGCAGTGTACAGACTCGCTGACCTTGTCATCGGAAGGTTTGTGCCTATAACGAGCATTGGAAACTACGCCTTGGTTCTAGGGGAACGCTGTCTCTGTGTTTTACTCTCACCAAACAAATGGCTGCCCTCCGTTTCACCTAATTCTGTCATCTGCATACATAATTCCCAGTCCGGTCCGAATGCTGGAGAATACGTTTTTGAGCAGTACAGCCTGGGTACTGGCATGTGGACTCCAGCCAGTGATGGAGACATTGTAGAGATGCTGCCACCAAGCCCCCATGAGTTCACTCATCATATATTTACTTGTTGCTATCGTAGATATTGGTAAGTCTGTTTTCCAGCTAAGTTTGCCTTTTTGTTTCTTGTTCATAGATTATTTACTGTTTCAAGGAGTCAATGTGGTTGTCACATTGTTTGATCCATGGTAAACTGACACTGCTAAAATTTTCTATCTTAAAATTCCAAACTGATATAAATACTTTGTGTCCTTGTAGGAATAAAGGACTCATGTATTCTGGAGCAACTGAGCCAAAATGGTTGATAAAGCAAGAAACACGGTTTGGAGTAAGTCTGTGTGTCTACCATTTTGTATAATTTGGTTCAATTGTTTGTAAAATATGTAACTATTCATTAGAGGTTAGATGTTGTTTGGTTTGGATAAACTTCAATCAGATTCCATGGATTGTCTTGTCAGGCCAATCCAATCAGTAGGCCATTACCCCCAAATAGGTGGTTAGTTCCCTGTGGTATTTTGGATTTTTTAATGCTATATTAACAATCTTGGTAAAAGGTACATATTCAGTGTAAAAGTAGAAACCTACAAGTCCCTGTGTATAATATATTCTGTCTATAAATATGATAAAAATCTCTGTACTTTTATAAATATATTATAATCTGCAGGGGATTTATAGTTGGTGTTCATTTTATAACTTTTACATGTCAATTAGTATTTGCTAGAAGTTGGTATTTAGATGCAAATGTTTCTTAAATTATCATGATTGCATATACATTTTAGCTTCTACTACCAAACCGTCCTTGGTGTGCTTTGTTGCATTTCGCTCAATATTCAGAAGACAATGTGAAGCATTAAGTCAGATACATTGTCAATTTAATTGTGGTGCACCGCTCTTTTGGTATAAAATCAGAAATTTGGTATATAAGCAACCTTTACTTTTTGAAATTTGGTATAAAATCAGAAATGCAAATAATGTCTGCAGGAGTATTTAATCATTTTTTTCTTGATAAGGGATGTAATCATCTATTTGAACACATCTTATCCATGCCAAGTAGTGGATTATGCCATAGCATTCTTGGTCACAGGGAAAAGTTAACAGCTCCCAAAGGTTTCTATATATGTTGGCTTTTTAATGTCTGAATAGGCTTATTTTGTACCGAAGTTTGCATTTCCCCCCTTTTTTGAACATGCAGGTTTATATTGTGTATTTGTTTATATGGTGTATGTATTGGGTGTTGCTGACATTCCTTATTTCGAACTCTTTCCAGGCTTGATGCTTGCTTGTTGCCAGCGGAGGTCTTTGTTTCAGTATTATGTCTGGAAGAGCAAATAGCCTTATCTGTTGGTGAGCTGCATTATTCCAGTGCCGGCGTGCGGTGGCTGCCGCTGGACCATGCTAAAGAGCAATCCATTCTATGGAAGGCTGTGTGTGCGATTAGAATTAGAACTGGCAAATGAAGCCATTCTTATCCTACTAGGCTACTACTCTTAACTCTTTAGCATGGTGGATACACTTGTTTAGCATATGGAGCGTCCTACATCTTAGAGCAGTCAGGTCATGAACAACTGTAGTTCGGTTCCTGCTGCAACTATGCTTTTGTCTTAAAAAAAATTGAGCATGGCAGACTTGTTTACCTTTTCTTCTTTTATATACTCCCCCGTCCTGAAATATGTACCATTTTCGCTTTTCGAGAAACAACTTTGACTAAATTTATATAAAAATATTAATATTTATAATACATAAATAATATCATTAGATAGATATTTGAATCTAATTTTTTAATAAATTTATTTAGAGATATAAATGTTGCACGAGTCAAACTTTTGACACGAAAACCAACTGTGACGGTTAACTGGGGATTGATGGAATATGCGCAGCTATGCTTCCCATCTGCGTGACCCGTCGCGCCATAGCCTTGTCCTTTGTATTTGATTGCTCTCCGAATGTTTCACTATTGCATACAATGGACAAGACGCGTCAGGGGAAAAGAAAAGAAAATACGGTCGTCCAGGCCATTCTGTCCTCCGGCGCCGCGCCCACGCACGCAGAGCTGGGGAGACGAGCGAGAGGCAAGTGATGGAAAAAGGCCCCGGTGCAAGAAACGCGGGGGAAGTGTCGCGGTACAGGGAACGCGGGGCTGCGTTGAAAGGCCGATTACTTCTACCAACGTGGTCCAAAAGACAAGAAATAATCTAAGGTGTTTGGGTAGGATTTTTGATTTTTTCTGTCCAGAATCGGATTTTAAGCGGAAACAAACAAGCCCTTGTCATTTACTCTGATGCTGATTGGACTGGTTGTCCTGACACCCGTCAATAACCTCCGGATATACGGTGTTCCTCGGTGACAATCTGGTCTCATAGTCGTCCAAGCGTCAGAATACGGTTTCCGCTCACGTGCGGAGGCTGAGTATCGAGCGGTCGCCAGCCGCCAGAATGCGACGTCTCCGTTCGTCGCTGCCTTCGTTAGTCTTTACGAAGTTCTGACCCACTCTCAACGTCTATTCCACCGGCGATTCGACTGCTAGGGGAGGTGTGTGTGTGTGTGTGTTAGAGTTTGATTGCACTATCATGTGTGATTGTGCTGGGTCTTGAGCGTGGCCTATTTAGCCGGCCAACCCGTCATAGGTGTGTGTGGTGGTGACCGCGTCCAGATCCCTGTATATAGCCATGCGGTGGCTTCTTCCCATAGCTCTCCTAGTCCGTATGATATGGAGACACTTATATATGTATTCTTCACACACCGATCAATAGAACTCATGCAAACTTTCAGTAGGGATTGTGGCGCACACGTTCAAAGCCCCCTATCAGTATGACGAACTATTTCATTGTATCTACCATAGTTTCCAAGCTCCGCAAAGTACCGTCGACATGATCATCAGTAGAGCTCCCATACAAAAACGTTTTATAGAAGCTCCAATAATGAATGACACAAGTGTACGGGAGCTACTCACCTTCTGTTCATCACTCTCCATTATAGGCCTATACTTGAAGTTCTCCAGCACATAGTACCCTTGATACATGCTCAGGAGGAGCTGCAGCCTCTGCAACTTGTCCTCCATGCATTCTCGATTTGTCAACTTGTCAACCAGAAAGGAGATGGAAGCAAATTATAACATATACTTCCTTTATTTGTTTTGTAAATATGTGATGTTTTAGAACAACTAAGGTTTTAACATAAACTTATATGACAGCGCAAGCAAAGCTGAAAGCTAGAGAACTGACAGATCATTAGCTAAACATTTAGTAGAAAATAATTGGGCTTTGCTGTGGTATCCTCAAATGACTGTGAGCCGTTCATTTGATTAGATCATAGGGCTAGAATCATCTATTACTTCCTATGAGGTAATAGATTAAATAAGTAAAGTTTTAGATATAAATATCTTTTTTAAATCTAATTGATGCATGCATGATCTATTAGATATGATCAATCTTTTTATTTTTCCAACTTTGGATATAATATAATTTATATAGAATAAACTAATTATTTTTATGCACTTGTTACTTAGGAACGCAACATAACGTGCGTATACACCAACTTACATGCACGTATATGAAACTCTATGTAGTGTACGTATGCAATATAATATGACTGGTTTTTAATTTTAACGTAAAATACCATCAAGCTTTATACATGATGAACCCGCTAAAATTTATTTATGGTACCCTATTATTATTGGTGTACAATTTTAACCTTATAATGTGATTAGGTTTATTCACATCATGAGATGAGAGTGATAGTTGCCATTTTAGTTTAGCCATGTCAAAAAAAAAGGACGTGACGACAATTGCACAAAAGAAAGGGTGCAGCAATGCTCAAGAACAAGGGGCTGCATGCCAACCCATGTCTCGCATGATTAGAGGGATTTGAGAATATTTTCCTTTTTTAATTAATTAATTGATTTAAAAAATATAAAAAATTAATGGCTCAGATTTATTTGAGATATTACCTCCTAGGAAGTAAGGGGGTACCGTAGCATTGCCCAAAATAATTTCACGGTGCCACATAAACTATATGTAGTTCGTGCTGTCAATTATATAGCTACTCCTCGACGCTGCTTCTTGTTCGATTGGGCAGCATCTTGAGTCTTGTCTTCAACACAGATCCGGACTATCTTTGAATGAGGGGGCAGCCGTGATTCCCATGTCATGAGCTCGAACATCTTCTTTGGAGGAGAAGCTGAGCCTACTATTAAGTCACCAAAACTGACCCTAGGAAGTTGAGTTGCAGAAGCATCACCTTCTACGTGAGGAGGCAAGGTGCGAAATGGAGCCGGGTGATAGATCAATTTTGTGATGTCTATTGGACGATCTTCCAAGCAAATTCTTCTTGGATGGTCACCAAACAACAACATATTGTTCTCTAAGGTCCATTTGTACCTTTTTAACACATGGAACCAGAATTGAGTATTCAGATTCTTTCTCATTACATCAGCCAGAATGTTTCCCATGATGAACGATCTCTGCATCAGTGTTGCCAACTCATTTCCTATGGATGATAACTGTGGGTTGTCCTCTGGATTTGTGCTTCCAAATGCCAATACCTTGAAGAGATAGCTAAACTCTTCTTGTGACAACGATTTCAGATAGATTGGCTTTACGGTAGCAAATCTTGCAATCTTTTCAAACCTACTTATGACTACCACTTTGCTTCCTTCACCCATGCGTGACAAACAAGAATAGAACTTCATCCAATCATCGTCACTGACGTCTGAAGTAAATTCGATCACGACCAGAGTCCTCACGCATGGGAACTTGTCATGTTCTATACTGCTTATGACGTGCCCAGAAATATGCAACATCGAAGAGAAATGGCTCCGAATCTTGTCAGTATTGCACACATGTGAAACAAGAGTTCTTTTGCCAACCTTATGACCGCCGATGATTGCAAGAATGGCTGGAGCACCCTGATTATTGAGATTTTTCTGCAGCAGTGTATTGATAACTTGCTGCTTTTCCACATGGCGACCGAACATGAAGTTATCGATATAAAGATATGTGTCGTAGGGATTGCGGCACACACGTTCACAGCCCCCTATCAGTATGACGAACTCTTTCATTGTATCTACCATAGTTTCCAAGCTCCGCAAAGCACCGACGACATCATCAGCAGTAGAGCTCCTACTAGTAGTACTGTTACTCATACGAAAACGTTTATAGAAGCTCCAATAATGGACGACACAAGTGTACGGGAGCTACTCACCTTCTGTTCATCACTCTCAATTACAGGCCTATACTTGAAGTTTTCCAGCACATAGTACCCTCGGTACATGCTCTCTGAAAGCTGCTTGAGCTGCATCAGCATACCAGAGTTTGTGATACATCGCGCATCGGCTTCTTCGATGACCGTGCGCACTCTCAGCAGGAGAAGCTGCAGCCTTTGCAACTTGTCCTCCATGCATTCTCGATTTGTCAACTTGTCAACCAGAAAGGAGATGGCGCGGCTAATTAGGTCGTCAGTAGCAGCAGATGTAATCGCCTCCATATGTCGAAATCTGCTCTCTTGTATGGATCTCTCTGTGTGTGAGAGTTAGAAAACTGAATGGTGGTTGCCTTAGTAGCTAGTACTGAATTGCTGTGTTTGATATATATTGGATGCATGCAAACAAAGGAAGAGACTGCACACCTCACAATTAGTAGGACCACATTGGCAACAAAATATAACTAAGGATGCCCGTACCCGTCGGTCATTGGAACTTGCTCCCTATCAGCTTTGCAAGAATGAACTGGACACTGCATGTCGGCTGTCAACATTCATGGCTTGTCCTTTTCAAAAGAAAAAAAAATGTTTGTGAAACCATAAGTTAATTGTTTTGGTAGCAATTCTATCTCATCGTTTGTATCTCAAGTAGGTACGAAGAAATTGCTTTTGGTTTTTAATTGAAGGTCAATTCTCTTAAGAAAATTATGCCACTGAGAATGATGGAGATAGTCATGTATAACTGACTGCCCTCGACGTACTCCCTGTGAACTGAGGAAACATTAACTTTTGATTGACTAGGTCATCTATATCTATATCTGTAAATCTATATATTATATTATAATTCTAAACACCACGGCCATTCTATCTTGTTGGGACATGTCATATTCATATGGGCC